AGTGGCAATTTTTCTGCCCCATCAACCTTGAATTCGAACGTGCGGCGTCGCTCGCATTGGTGACCAGTGGGCCGAGGCGTGGTTTCGTCGCGACTAGGTTGCGCTGTCCTCACGCATTTTTAAGTTGCGAAAGTAGTATATAGCCTATATATGTGAGAAGAAGTTTCAGCCAAAAAAAAGCGTCCGAACATCGAAGGAACGGAGCGGCTATACAAATAACATACGAAGGCAATAAAAGACGGCCTTGAAGCAATGTATGAGTCCATGAAATAACGCTGAATGCTTTCTTTCCAACTATGTAGTTGAAAATGTCGTTCACTTACCCACATTTGTTTTGAGGGAGTGAGTATGCCGAAACTCGAGCTCCTCTCAACTGAAGAAAGCAAGGAGAAGAAGGAGGAAAAGTCGAGTCGTGATTCACGTTCACGTTCCCGAAGTCGGTCACGCTCTCGGAGCCGCTCGCGCTCTCAAAGTCGTTCACGCTCTAGCTCTCGTTCGAGGAGGCGCAGCTCAAGCCGAAGCCGCTCAAGGAGCAAAAGCAGAGGACGGAGAAGTCATCGTTCTCGTCGTTCTAGGTCGCGTTCTCGCTCCTATTCTCCAAGAGATGATCGCCCCATCGTTAGTGGTAGAATCCATGTGTCTGGGCTACCTTCTTCCATTTCAAGTCGTACTCTTGAACGAGAATTTGCAAAGTTTGGCAAAGTGGTTGACGTATGGCTTGCCTCCTATTACCCATACTACGCATTCATTACGTTCCGAAAGGAAAAAGATGCAGAGGAAGCCATCCGAGAAATGGATGACACCTTCTTTGACGGCTATCGAATACGCGTTGGTCACGCTTTACCAAAAGCTGATCGATATGGGCGTAAATTTGGGGGGTTGCCTCCTGCACGCTCGCGCAGATCTAGAAGATCGCGTTCCCGTAGTCGCTCGCGGTCGCGCTCACGATCGCGTAGCCGCAGACGTCACCGTCGCTCATCATCCCGTTCATAGTAACTCATGTACTTAACTTGCCGTGTACTGGCCGTTTTGGTGACTCTTGCGTTTCTTTTTCTCATTTTCACTTGGAGACAGTTCGCGATTGCCTGAAGGTAGTACTTCTGCCGCTCAAACATCTATGCCAAGGGCGCCGGGGTTACGATAGGTGGAAATCCAGCTCTACACTGGGCATGAGTCCCTTGAGTTACTGGTTAGGGTCTGCTTATACTTTGCGTCAATGTACGCAGCGTTACGAGTGTACGTAGCATCAGCGACTAGGAAAGTGGGTGTTGATCTAGCGTATGCCGGCGTGCAGCTGTAGCCGGCGTCAGGAAAGTATGGATATCAATCTAGCGAACACCAGCGTTTTCGCTTGCAATTTGAGCTTGAGCAGAACTCTCCGCGGAAACACTGCATCACGCTGGCTTATGCTGACGTACGCCAGATCGATATCCATACTTTCCTAGTCACTGGCGTACGCTAGATAGATACCTATACTTTCCTAGTCGTTGGCGCTGGCGTACGCTCGAAATGCTGCCGTACGCTGACGCCAAGTATGAATGCAGTCCTATGTGTGCCGATGGGATCGGTTTCTTGACCGTGCTTGTACGGCTGTGTGATACGCACACGCGTGTATCTCGTCTTCCGCTGAGCGTCTTTACGTCTCTGTTCACTGCGTAGTCGTAATACTGGTCCAATAAACCGTGGCCTTATAGAGCGTTTTCGACGCTTGGCGCTAGTTCTGCTCCTTTCGTTGGTGGTTCGTCAATTAGCACAAGTCCTTGTATGAGTCACCGCCGTCGGCTGACAATCGCGGAATGTTTCTTCAAGCAAGCGCCGGTATTACCAAAAAACGGGGATGATGTTGGGTTGAGTTTGAACGGCTGCTGCACTGTAAGTACTATGCTCCTCGTCAAACTATACATATTCCTCTATTGTAGTTTGTCATTATGAGTAAATAATCGGTGTTGTTGGAAGGTTTAGTTCCTGCAGATTATTCACGTCCCTGCTGCTCAGATTGGTGAAGGAGATTGCTTTATTTCGAAGGGTATTGCTGCGATATCGTTGTACGGAAAAACCGTGCCAACTTCACAGATCGACGAGACCCGGGCCTGGCCCCATTGAGATTTGGATGCTCTTACGATTGGCATCTTGGCTCTTATACAGTGCCTGCGACTTGGAAAGTTCTACTTTTTTGGCTTTTCTATAGAGAAAATTTTTCACAGCACGACCCCCTTTCTAGCGATCAAAGTCGTCCTTTTCCTGTGTGAGGTTCCACATTGATGATGTACGCTGATAGAAAGGAGTGTAGGGACTACATAAAACCGTCAAAGGCGGCGGGCAGGATGGGTGGGGGCGGGCGGCTGCTACTAATGTCATTGGTGGAAGGGGTGTGAGATGGTGTTTGGCCACATCCACCCCGCCCTTCCCCCAGCCAATAATCAAAACATCTGCTTGGGCCGCCTCTGCGTTTTTTCGGTAAGTATTCATAGATTACGACTACCTTGCAGTTCGCGTGAAGCAGTAGTTGAAATCGGTTCCAGTACTGCGAAGCTCAGGAAGCAAATTCAATCACCGTCATAGTAGCCGGCTTAGACTCATCCTAGCTCTGCACATGCAGTCCTTGAAATGCCCCCCCTGAGGTTCTTGTCGCCCTCAACGTCGTCGTTCGTCATTACTTCTTCATGGCCATAGCAGGCGCGCCAATAGTGTCGTTTCCTAGCCCCGCCCACACGGCAGTCCTAAGCAGTGTCTTCAAACTGCGCGTCAATAGACTTTTTATTACTGTGAATTCCGAAATCACCGATTGTTTTTCGCTCTAAGTTTCTGTTTGTGGAGACTTTTGCATTCCTTTAGCTTTTCTAAGAGAGTTGTCAATGGTTTTGTGTGTTACGGAGTTTTTTCTCAATGCTTTAGACGTTACGTTAAATACGATTTTTCATAGTTTCAATCTCGTTCTTTTTTTATTGATTATTGTTATCTTGCTATTTGCTTCAAAGACTCCGCTTGATTGTTTACTGTAGTGTTTTGTAATTTTTTTTAAATTGCACTAGTTTCGCTTTAGTTTGCCATCATCAGGTGTTGTGTTTGTTTATCATTAGATTTGTTCTATTAATCTCAGAAGATTTAAACGTGTGCAGTTGCTGTTTTGATTCTTGGCACAGGCCAACCAAGCCTTCCATCCCTTCGGGGTAGGTAAATTGGTACCAGATCAGTCTGGGAACATGCGAATCATGGAGAGCCTAACTTCAACTTATGGTATGGATGGTATGGTTATGGTAAACTATGGGGCATGGTAAACTATGGTTCATGGTAAACTATGGTTAAGCAGATGTCAACTATTATGGATGGAAATGGTATGGACTATGGATGGATGGGTTTGAATGGCAGCGATTTGTGATGGGATAAAGATGGTGCAACTGGGAACAATACCGGACACTTTATGCTTTCCAACCTTTAGTTGTACACCTTCAGTTTGTTATAAAATTATATACCGAATAAACATATAGTTGTAGCCATGATAAAGATATTTAGACTCTCATATTACAATCAGTACTTTAGGTTGCACTTGCACGTATCCATGCCGGCCAAATTGAATTACGACTCAATCATAAGGACGGGAACGATCGTCTGGTTGATATCAAAAAAGTCCGGGTAGGTCTTCTATCCACTCAGGTTAGTCTCAGGGCACAGTTGTGGTTGTTTCACCTAGGTGTGGTTAATGGACCTTCTTCAGGATCTCATTGAGTTGACGCAGAAGGAAATCGAGAACTTCGTAGGAGTCACGGAGGCTCATGCACCATTTTACAAGGTTAGAAAGGGCTTTTGGCGCAGTTTGCCTTATGGGGGGCATTTTGCTGGTGTCCATTGATCGTTGCTTACGTATCCTGTTGAGATCTGTGAACTCTTATAAAGCCATGCAATAGCACGCGCTTCGGTTTCACTTGACTGGAGATCTGTAAATCAGCAGGAACTTGTAAGAGAATAGCAAGCCATATGCCCCTCCCCCAAGTCGAACAGCTCCGGTTTTTTTGTGCGGTCTTAAACATGACATAAATACATAGGTCTTGTTCAGGTGAGTGCCATGTATCTGAAGGAGGTTGGTGATTTCGCTGGCTACTATCGAGAAGCTCTTCGATATCCTTGGTGTTGAAGATATCAATAAAATGTCTGCGGAGGAAAAGCATGTTCAGGTGGGGTGAAGTGATCTTTCTAAGTTTGCTTTTTTTATAGTTGGTGTTTAGGCTGTGTTGATTGGATTCGCTGCTCTGCTCGGTGATAATGTGTACAATTTTGGAGAACTGGTAGGTTTTTTCTTGCCATAATTCGGTTTGGTGGGGGCATTATGCTGATTCTCAGCGATCAGTGCCGATGCCTTCCTGAAATCTGTAATCGCTTCAAAGCTATGCAATAGCATGACCTCTATTTATACTTGACGAGAGTCCACAGGTCTCGCCAAGGTGAGAAGTGTTATTTCACAAGAACTAGTAAGAAATACTAGCGAACTGCCCCTCCTCCTTCCAGTTAAGTCGTACAGAGCCTTTCATTTGAAAGATTGGGCACTATTCAACTATTACTACCCCAGTTTTGCGAAAACAGGCCGGATCTTGATCGACTTTTTTCTACGGGGGTGGATTTGGCTGAAAGTTGGGTTCTAGGGGTAATTCGACCTCCTGAACACGAATATCACATCCACTTGGCCTGAAATTGCCTGGCGCCCGCGCCATAGGCGCCAGTGATTTGGGGCATTTTGGCGCCGGCGCCCGTAGCGCGGACGCGGAGCGGTTTCAAGCCGAGGGAATGTGATATTCGTGATTAGGAGGTCAAACTACCCCTAGGTACAAGTTTTCAGCGGATTTCGTGATCTAGGGTACTTTGGCGCCGGCGCCTGTGGCGCGGGCGCCAGGCGGTTTCGAGAGGAGCGGATGTGATATTCGTGTTCAGGAGGTCGAATTACCCCTAGAACCCAACTTTCAGCCAAATCCACCCCCGTAGAAAAAAGTCGATCAAAATCCGGCCCGTTTCCGGAAATCTGGGGTAGTAATAGTTGAATAGTGCCGAAGATTGTTGAAAACTTCAATTTATTTGGAATATCCAGAATTCTTGCTTTCTTGCAGTGAGGGTACGACCGTAACTAGGTCCAGAACGCAGCACGATTAAGTCCGCTCCTTTGCACCCGGAGACAAGGCCGCTCTGGTTCTGATTACCTTCGTTCTGTTAAGGCCAAGCCCAGAAAGAGATAGGGATCGTCTAGTCACACCGCCGCGTGCCTCTCCTCCTCCTCCTTTCTCAACGGCGGTAGTGTGGGAGTGCGTGTAAGAAGAGCTGCCATATGATCTTGTTAATGAATCACGCACTGCATATGTTCCCATTGACGTTTTCCCTGTTAAGTCCATTAACTCTTATTTTTATCTCATTTTTATTTTTTTCATTCATTCTCTAATTTTTAGCTGGCTCATCCGATTCTGAAAGCCCTGGAAGGATCCAGCGAGAAGTGGCTGTCTGAGGTAATTTTACATGAGTAGTTCACTATTTGGTTTGTAAAACAACGAGTTGCGTAAACCAGTTCTTATTTTCTTCTTCTAGATTTTAGCTAAGGAATAAGGCCTTTTTCAATTTTTCGTGTGTGCCGCCATGTGGTTTACGTTGGTGCGCGTAGGAAAGCAAATTCGTTTGGCTAATTTGACGTTACTTCATGTTCCTGAATTGTTTTCGGTCAAGAATTATAACCCAGGAGGGTGTATCTACTTTCTGGCCGCCTAGGAGTGGTGGTTGACTTATTGTGATTTTCCTGTTTCGTATGTATTGTGTACCCCCCCCACCCCCGCTCGCCCGCCCAACGATAGCAAAATTTTTGGGAAAACGTAAGGGGAAATTTTGGAAAAGCGGGACAGAATTGGGGAAAATCTGAGAATTGGTAGGGAGGATCGTATTTTCTTCGCGGCTTTTCGTTTTACATGTGCTATTTATACCTCCCCTCCCCCGCTCGATGGCTCGATTCGATGAGGAGGGACAGAGGGGCCAGAGGGGGGGGGTCGTACGGACTCGACCAAAATCTCCAACCAATGATGTGCCCTGGACGTAATTATTGGAAAAAAAATTATCGGAGTATTGTGCTGTCTCGGAGTCCCATTTTATCTGAATCTTTGAAAAAAAAGTCTGATACTCCAAACTTTCAATTCAAAAAACTCAAAGACATCGAAAGTCACCAGTTTCCCAAAATCACTCAGCTTGCAATATTTTGAAGCCTAGCACCTTCATCAGGCCTGAGTTTTTTTGGCTTGTTATTAGTTAGACAGTATACCTTCATATTTTTTGGATTCTTCCGCGAGGCGGCTTTTTTCCTCAGTCTTGCGCGAAGCGCCGCCCCAGATAACCACGCCCCTCTGTGCCGCAACACAGTTCACACCCACATTACACGCATTACACACTATTATTTTAAAAAATTACTTATTCTCTGGTAATAAATGATGAAGTAAGGCGTTGGTAAGTCAGGTTAGTGGTTGGTATTAGAACCACTGTTGTTCAGGTGCTGTATGCCTTCAATTGTGGAGATCTCAACAAATTCTACGCCTTGGAGAAACATTGGTCAGAGTGGGATGATCTAAAGAGGAAGAAGGATTTTCTTGTGGGCAAAATTCGACTTCTAGCAATCATGGAGGTGGGCTTGCTGTTCTTTCACGACATAATCTTTCGCGTAA